CTCCGGCAGGGCCTGGCAGGGATGCACAGCCCAGCGGGCACGGCAGGGATGCCAGCCAGGTGCCAGCGCTGCTGCCACACCCCGGGCAGGGGCCAGGGCCACTGCTGGTGACGCAGCTCAGGCTGCAGAACGGGAAATGCAGGTGGAGGCCACGGGAAGAACCAGGACAGCAGGGCCAGGGCAGGAGGAGGCTGAGGAACCACGGTGGGAGCGCTGCTGGCAGCCCACACTACCTGCCCCTCACCGTGCCAGGGCCCTGCCATCACTGCACCAGCACCTGTGGGGCAAAACCCGTGTGCCAGGGAACCCCTGTGTGCCAGGGAACCCCTGTGTGAGACAGAACCCCTGTGTGAGACAGAACCCCTGTGTGAGACAGAACCCCTGTGAGACAGAACCCGTGTGTCAGACAGAACCCCTGTGTGCCACAGAACCCCTATGTGCCACAGGTTCAGCTCCTCTGTGTCTCATGCAGCAGCCAAAATCTCACAGCAGGAAAGCGGTGACTGACGAGGGCAGTGACGCAGGTGTATTGTGACTCTAGTAAACCCAGAGACACAGGAAACTGCTCAATCAACCAACAGCCCAGCACAAGAGTCCTCTCTCTGCATTCCTGAGGAATGTTCAGGGCCAACATTCCGACAATGAGCCACTCCTCAATGCGCTGCACCAGCCTTGGCAGCCCACACTGCCAGGAGCAGCAAAACCCCACCAACAACTGCCCAAAAATGTGCATGTTTCTGATGTTCTGAACCAACCCTGGGCGAATTCAGAACTAGAGCACCCTTAATTCACTTAAAGGGATATGTCAAAGCCTCCCTTAATTGTGATAAATCCCATTCCTTCATCTGAGAAGGTGACATTTCACAGCAAATAGACCCAAAACATTGAGTGGAACAAGGAAGAGTTTCCTGTTTTGTAAGTGGCTTCCTGTGATGACAATCCCAGCATGGGAGCAGTTGGCTGCATGGCTGGTGCTCAGGTTTTTTAGGACTTTGTTTTTCCCAGGCAGACAGATGGAATTTGTCACAAGAAACTAATCAGGGACACTGAGACCTAGTTGCATTTACAGGGATAAAATCTCAGTTTGAGGAGTCATTAGAAACCTGCCTCTCACAAGGCTGCTGCCTGCTCAGTCACAGACCATTTCCCAGGCAGAGCATTTCTTTAGGGCCAGCCATGCACGGCCCCACCAACCTGAGCATGTCCCTGCTCCCAGAGCCAGAGAGCTGTGGCACTTGGGAGAGGGCCAGAAGGAGCAGCTGGGTCACTTGTCCTTTAAACCATCCAGTGGTGGCCCCCTGGGACAGACATGTCCCCCAGCTCCTCCAGTTTGGAAGTCAGGGAAGATCAGATGTGACATTCTGGACTTTGCCTGTGAAAAGCAATCAGGGAAAAAAATAGAATAATGCAAAGTGCAGAGAGACTTGTGTTTGTACTTGGTATGCTGAAAGGAGAATAGGGAAACACAAAATCATGTGCAGGTCAGTTTTATACCAAACATATCCCCTTTCTTCCCTGGAGAGTGGATAAAGCCTCCAGGACCCCACAAGCACCCAGCAGCCAAAATTAACTTCCAAGCTGGCACAACCTCGTGGTGCCTCTGTTCCAGTGCTGCTCCGGCAGGATCCAGGAGCAGCTGTATCCTTGCACCCACTGTGCAGGGGTGGAGCCCCTCCAAGGGCACAGGGAGATGCCCCTACCCCGCTGCAGCTCAGGGGCTGTGGCTATCAGGGCTGCCAGCCCAGCACTCGGTTGCCTTTAGTGTAATGAACAGGGTCTGTGCCTTTATTAATGTTCAGCTCTTTATTAACAAGATCAGCTGGGCAGGGGGCTCCACACGGGGGTTGTGACTTTCCTGGTAGCCAAAGGGGGAGAAGGCTGCAGAGTCTGTCCCTGGAGTCTCCGTGGTACACGGGTAGCTGGAGGTGCAGAGGTGTGCAGTCTGTACCTGCAGGAGGTGCAGAGGTGTGCACTCCGTATCTGAAGGAGGTGCAGAGGTGTGCAGTCTGTATCTGAAGGAGGTGCAGAGGTGTGCAGTCTGTATCTGAAGGTGTGCAGAGGTGTGCAGTCTGTATCTGAAGTCCCAGCAGACCGTCCTCTCTCCTTCCCTCCTGGCACACAGGTGGCCGCAGCGTGAGGGGATGTGCAGAACCTGCTGCCCAAGTCCAGCAGCATCTATCCCCTCTCCTTCTCTCCTGGGAACACCAGGCAGAGTTGTTCTGTTGTTCCTTTGCTCCTGTTCCCACAGCCCAGCCCAGTCCTCTGCAGGTTATGGTGACAGGTCAGACACAGACCAGGGATGTGGTTCCCTTTTCCCCAACCAGCGCACCCATCCAGCCCCTCCACTGTGCCCAGCCTTCCATTTAGGGGTGTTTTCATCCCCAAAACCCCCTCCCATGATTCCACTGGATTCTTTTGCATCCCGGTCCTAGTGTGGGTGGGGTTGTAGGTGATTCCCAGGAGCAATTAGCTAATTAATATTTCAGTGTTAGAGTACTTAGCTCAAGCCGAAGTGTCCCAGCCAGGCTGTTTTGTTCATAACATTTAGGAGCAATTTTTGAGCTCTGATAGGTGGAATGGCAAACAGGAAAGTGCTGAGCCAGCTGGGAACAAGCTGTTCGCCTGCCCCAAGTGTCTCTCTCCCAGCAATGTTTTAATTCCAGCTCAAACTGCCAAGAAAAGCAGCTCCTTAATCAGCAAAGCCATGAGGAAGGGCAGCTCCCATTCCTGCCTGCCGTGGCGGGGTGTCCCTGTGGCTGTCTCTGGCCACCACCCTTCCTTCCCCTGTGGCGTCCTGCTTGTGCCAGCCGTGAAAAAATCCCTTCCACATCCTCCCAAAGGCCAGCACGCACCCAGCCTGCCCTGCCAGATCCTGCTGCAGCTCCGGGTCTCCCAGAAAGAAGAGCTGCTTTGATGGACCAGTGACTGTCCCACAGGAGGTGCAAATTTCCCTGACTTCTGCTCTTCCAGAAAACTTGGCCTTCATGAATTCCAGTGCGTGCCAGACAGAGGGTTGATCTCCCCCAATTGTGCTTTGCCATTTTTCTGATGTTTCCATTATCCCCGCTGTGTCACCCAGCAAATTCTGCCTTGTACCAAAAGCCATTTCTGTCAAATTGAGTTAAAAGGAAGTAGTGAAAAACTAAAAACTCTGTATCAAATCCTGCCACCTGGAAAATCAGCAGAGAAATATAATTTTGTGGTCTTTCAAATTAAATCAGATTCTGGGCACTTTGCTGTTGGGTTTATCCAGTGCTGAGTGGAATAGCTCTGCTCAACCATGACTAGGTTTAGGCACGTTCAGTTCCAGTTCAGAGATGCTGCTTTTAATTGTATCCTCACGCCATTTAAAAAAATGTTATGATTTGCCTCAGCCATTCTGCATTAAGGAGGTCTCGGCAGGAGGTGGCTTTAGTGGCAGAGCAGCTGGTGCTGCCACAGGGAGCAGAGGTGGGGGAGAGCAGCTGGGTCATGATGTCTGTCTGTGCTTTGTGTAGCCTTTCCCCTCCCCGAGCCTGCCACCACCACAGCTGAGCCCTCAATGATCCAGCACCCCCAGCTCCATCCTGGGGCTCCCACCTCAGGAGCAGCTCTGCTCCCTGCACTGCTCCATTTCTCTCTCACCTGAGCACAGGGGAATGCTCCTGCTGGTTTTGCTGGCCTCTCTGGGTGCCTGTGCTCTGAACTCTCTCCTGGCTCTGCTCTCCCGGGCCAGCCAAGCCCAGGAGCAGTCACTCCCACCTGTCTTTGATGCTTGGTATCAAACTGACCTGCACATGATTTGGTGTTTCCCCTTCTCCTTTCAGCATACCAAGTACAACCACAAGTCTCTCTGCACTTTGCATTATTCTATTTTTTTCCCTGATTATTTTTCACAGGCAAAGTCCAGAATGTCACAGCTGCTCTCTGGTTTTCCTACAGGTTTTCTGGGGAAGCTGAGAGCAGATTCAGTAGAAGTAGCAAGAGTGATTGAAAGTGTGCTGGTGCTGAGCCATCACCCAGGGCTCCTTCTCCCTGAAGCCTCAGTGCTTGAAGTCAGAGCTTTTTGGGTGCACTGGGCTCCTGCAGTCAGGGACAGAACCGTGTCACCACACCTGTGCTGGTTGCACCTCCAGGCTTGGTGCTGCCAACACTCACCTGCCCCTTTCCAGGCCTTCTCTGCATATTCCCCTGTAACAGTTCCAAAAGGGAAACACCTGCAGTTCTCTCCTTTCAGTGGGAGCCTGAGTGCTCTCCAGTGAACTGTTGCTGTTTTCTCAAGGAATTATAGATTGGAATTCAGTAATTATGGGCTGGATCCACCTCTCCTTAACTAGCTTTCACTGCAGAGAAATAAAAAAGCTGGCTGAAGAAAGCTTGCCTGTGGCCACTGAGATCTCAGTGTGAGACTGTTCAAGTTTTACATTTTAAAGTTAAAGGATCATGAAAAGTTTCTCTTTTTTCCTGGCCATGAAAGGAGCAGGGCTGCTCACATTCCACCAGGACTCCAGCTCTGCTGACCTCTGCAGGCAGTGAAGCAAAGGTGACATCGATGACAACAGCTATTTTTACAGGAAACAGAAATGACATATTTTTCGTTTCTTCAAATGAAAAGCCCCAAACAAACAAGAGTAAACATGAACGAGGTGGTTCATTCTTAGAAGCTTTTCTGGTATCAAGAGATGTGATCTTACACAATATGGTGTTTTGGTTTGGTTTCTCTCTTGTTTTCCTAATTTACGATGTGTTTTAGCATCTCTGAAAAATATCCCTCAGGCTGCCAATGGCAACAGGACCTAGAGTGGTGATTTAACATGAAAGAATATATTCTCTTACCCCATTTCTCACACTCTTCCCTTTGTGCTGTGATGTCATTAAACCACTCCAAGGCAGGTGCAGAGGCTGAATCTCCACCCTCTGCTCCGGTGGTGGCCGTGGGGGTGTCCTGTCACAGAGCAGTGCTGTCACAGAGCAGCATCTGCCTCTGCTGGCACCTCACAGTGATCCAGTCCCTCCTGGGCACCAGCTGTGGGTGGTCCTGGGAGCTGGCCCTGCCAAGAGGGGGAGGAGGAGGAGGCTGAAGAAGTGTCCCTGGGAAGCGTTGCCCTGGACAGAGCACAAGTCCTGTGCAATGAAGGCATTTTGTCTTTGAGGACAGTGACACTCGCAGAGTCAGGCTGCATGTGACATCACCCGAGTGGACACTCACTGTGCTCTGGAGATTTAGCAGCCATCCTCGGGAAGAGTCTAAAGCAAAGGCTGTGAAAAAGCCGGCAGCAATTCCTGCCAACCAGCACAGCTGTACGGGCACGGGGGAGCAGGGCTGCTGGGAGAGCAGCCGGGCTCAAATGGGTCATGGTAGGTGGGAAAGGAGAAGCTGAAAGCTGCTCCTTTGACCCAAATCTGGCACTTTTCCATGTGCAGGAAAGGCAGTTTGCACTGCTGTTCCAGGAGAAGATTAATCTATTGCTCCTCTCTGGGCAGCTGTTGATGGATTGTTTGTGGAACTGCAGAATCTCCCCAGACCTGAGATGAAATCAAATCTCCAGGAAATGTTTCACTCCTCATATACAGGGCTATCTAGAAAAGGCAGGTCCTCAGGAGTATGGCTCTGCCTGCAATAATCTGCAGCACTTCTGTTTCCTTTAAGGAGACCCAAGAGTGCCGTGAGAGGCCATTTCAAGGATCCAAAGGAGAGGGCAAGGTCTGAACTCTCTCCATGGCCTTGTGCGTAAGTACTGGCAGGAGGGAAGGAGGCAATACAGGTACAAAGACCCAGAGACGTTACAAGAAGTTATCCAAAGCCAGCAGACAAACCCATCTCTGCCTGGATTTGGGGGAGACGTGGGAACTGCCCCCGAGGAGGCAGGACAGAGGGCCCCTCCAGGCAGGCACTGCTGGGCACATTCCCCTGGCTCAGGCACGGACCAAGAGGAGGAGCTGTCCCTGCCTCCAGTGAGCACAGCACAGGATCAGCCCCATCCATGACCTGCTTTTGATTCTCTCCATCCCTCTCCCAGCCCAGAGCAGACAGCTGGGCACTGGGCAGCGTGGGTGCACAGAGCAGCTCTTGCCAATATCCAGCTCACGTGTCTTTAACTCCAGTTTGAAAGCCAGACTCCACAACAGTGCCACTTGAGAATTTCTTACATGTCACCTAGTTTTAGTGCTGTTCTATTTCATTTGCTACCTTACCTTAGTAATTTTTTACCACTCATTCAGTTTGCATTTCTTTCTCTTTTCATTTTCATCTGTTCCTGATATTTTATTTTTCCAATAAAGTGAGTAATTTAATGGCCTTAATCCCAAGCCTCCTATTTAGAACATGGATGTGGAGGCTGCAGAAGGAAGCCCCAATTTAAATCTGTCAGTCAAACATAACTTAATCTATCACCTTCTTTATATCTAAAACTGCTCCACGGGAAGAAAACCATAGGATTCAATTCAATGGGAACCTGGGATTCAATATAACTGTAAAGTATCCAGCTGCAAACCTTTCTAATGCTTGCTCTTCTTATGCACAGGCTGTTAAAAATGGGAAAGTTACACAGGCCTTGGAGAGCACAAAGTCACAACAGATTAAGTCCAGAGGTGATTGCAGAGGCTTTGAAGGCCCCGAGGCCACAGCCACAGCACCATCACCAGCACAGGCACTGCTATGCAGCTGTGATGCTTTTCCATTGTTCTTCTATTTCTGGACTTGTAAAAAAGTCAAGGGAATTAAAGATACTGAAGATATCCTGAAGGAATTTGTCACCTTCTGTCTGTTACCTTTCCTGCCTGCTGCCAGGCAGCCCACAGCTAACCAGGCTGTGGCTCAGGGCTGCAGCACAGTCCCAGACCCATGGAGGCTGGGCAGAGCCAAGGAGCTCTGGAGTGAGGGCACTGAACAGGGAATGTTCCTCCCTGTGGCTCCATCTCCTCTGCTGTTCCACAGTGGACAATGCTCACCTGTGATGAGCAGCCCCAGGACTCGTGCAGCACCTGCAGATCCACCCTGAGCCCAGCAGAAAGGCCCCTCAGCCAGCAGCAGGTGATTTATCACCGCCCTGCTCAGGCCACTGCTATCAGGCAGCAGCAGAAAATGTTCAACAAGATGGGCAGCATGAGAAAAGAGCTCCTGAAATCAATCATGTGAGACAGCACCTAATTACCAGACATGCCTTCCCAATCCCTGCTCCTGTGTCCCTGGTGTTACAGACGTGGGAAAGGTTTTCAGTGGCTTGAGCCCCTTGGGCCAACAGGTTGCTGTGTGCTTCCAGCACGGCCAAGACTCCTCCACAGCCTTTGGTTCTCCATTGCACTGGCACCAGGACCTGTACAAACAAATCCTTGTGTCTTCTTGCAGGGGTGGGATCAGAGGTTGGAGAGAAGCTCTGGGTGTGAGCACTCGCTATCCTGAGTCATCAAGCACTAAACAACCGTGCTCCCACAGCATGATGGAAATTGTAATTGTGTTAGATGCCATTCCCCATGAATCATGAAGGAACTTCCATCAGAGTTTCCCCACTGTGGGAATCCAGGGCTTCCCTCTGGCTGCCCTGGCAGGTCTGGGACCCTGGCAGGGGTCAGGAACCCCCCTGGACAGAGCCCCCAGAGACACTGTCTGTGATCTCTGTCCATGGAGAGGAGTTTTCAATCCTACAGGATGAATTACAAGCTTCGAGTGTTTGATAAGAGTAATAATTAAGTGTGACACGAGTGCAAAAGTAAAATTTTAGATTTCTAGATTAGGGGTTCAGAGGGGACAAGATGGAGGAATTGGGTGTGTCTTGTCCTTTTCCTCCTTCTTCATGCCCTCCATGTTTCACTGTGGTGTTGGCATTTTTCTGTTGGTTCAGGCTGGGGACACACTGTCCAACGTGGGTGACAGATATTGGCACGTTATTGTAAATCCAGCACAGGTAGTTTGTGGTATATAATGTTTGTACCATCCCACTGAGGGCAGAGCCCCACACGCTGCCCTGCAGGACAGAGCTGCGGCAGGGCAGCAGAACATGTTAGAGATAAACAGAATAAACAACCTTGAAACAGCACAGACGAATTATGGCTTCTTCTTTGGCAACGGGGCAGAAAGACAGAGACTTTCTACAATCTCGGAATCACCAATACCCACAGATTCCGACACCCCACCAGCTGGATGCTGAGTGGGTGGCTGAGGGTCCCTGCAGCTCCAGAGCTGCAGCAGAGCAGGGCAGGGCACGTTCACAGACCCTGCAGGTGCTCCAGAGCCTCACAACTGGGGATGTCTGTCACACACCTCTGCTCCTCTGGGTGCATCTTGGGGTAAATCTGCAATGCTGAACCAAGCGATTTCTCCTCTTGCAAGTTCCCATGGGCTGTTTGCTTGTTTCTGTCCAGTCCATCACTGATGGCTCTGTGGCAGGAGCTCAGACCCAGCTCTGTCAAAGCCCAGAGAAATCACTGTGCAATTCTGCCCTGAGCTGGAGCATCCAAAACTCCACAGTCAATATATTCAGGGCTGCAGCAAACAGCCTGACAGCCGGGTGCAGCAGCCATTTAGCAGATAACCACATTTTATTCTGACCCTTATTTCATCCTGCAGCAATTAGCCAGGAAAAAAGGGCTGTCATTTCAGCCTCGTGTTCCTGCATGTTTAGTGAGGCAGAACCTAGACATACCTTCTGGAACCTGAGTAAAAACAGCACTGATGTCTGCTAGTTCACAGCGGTTCTCACAGCTGCAGCATGAGGGAAAAGCTGCTGCTGGGTTTAGCCACCTTAGAGGCTGATTTTGAGCAAATCTGAGGCAATCCAGTGAGCCCTGTGAGGAGGCAGCTGTGCTCTTGGCAGTGCAGTGCAGCCACCCTGGCCTGGGGCTGAGCCCCCCACCAGCACTCAGACATTTATTGCATGGTAGGTCCTTCCCTTTGCTCCACCTTAAAATAAAAACATACATTTGACGTCCATATTCTAGTTTTCTGAAATTATATCTTCCCCATAAATATCTTCTCAGTAGTCCCAACCCCAAGCCCAGCTCTAATAAAAGTGCTCTTTTTGGTTATCTGACAATGAGATGTCTCTGGACTGAACAATTACCTTCAAATTCCTGTCCAGAACAGCCTGGGAGTGGAAATGAACTTCTTCCTCCCCAGGTACAAATCCATAATGAGGATTTATTTCTGAGGCAGTGGAAATGAGGTAATCCCTCTCCTTCTTGAGGTGAGATAAGGAGAAAGAAAAAAAAAAAAAAAAAGGAAAGAAATAGTACAAGTTAATAGTGAAGCATCTGGAAAAGCAAATGATTTGCAGGAGATAGGGACAGGAGGTCAATGGCATAGAACAGCTTTGAGTAATGTGGGAAAAATGATGGATTTGCCTAAGGCTGAGCTGTGGGGGGGCCCTGCCTGGGGTCCTGGGAGCACACAGCCCCAGGCACAGCCGGCACCCAGGCTCTGTCAGGCTCTCAGTTATTCCTGATTGCTCCAACACCCACCAAAACCAAACCAAACACTGACACCAATACTGAAATCCTGAGGAAGCACTGAGGAGCCATGTGCTGCTCCTGGCAGCTGACAGACAATGCTCGGGACAGACAGACACCAATAGGCCTGGAATGAGCTGGGGTTGCTCTGGCACAGGATTAATCTGCATTTGGGGGGATGGCCCTTTTCTGCTTGTTTTGTTTCAGCAAATTCTTTACTGTAATAGCCCAATTTCTGCAAAGAACAGAAAATTGCCATGAAATGAAGCAGATGAGGAGAAATTGTATCATTGTGGAACCCAAACTGATGCCCAGTCTCTGCTTCAGCAAAGCCACAGCAGATCTGTATTGCCCTGTGCAAATGCAGTGACTTGAGAAACTGTGCAAATTATGATAAAGGTGTGTATTTATGGAAGAAATTGAGGAAAACCACCTTGGCTGTCTCCTGGGATTCATACTCCAGGTTTGCTATTGGCTTTGCTCTCTGCCAAGCCCTAGCAGCTCAGAGGCAGAATCTGTTGATACTACAGGAAGCAAATTCATGCAGAGCAGTCAATGGGAAATAATGGATATCAATTACACAGCTTGAACTGCCGACTGGATCAGGTTTTATAACTCCTTACTCTTGTGGTCCTCTTAATAAAATCATTGGGAGAGATGCCATATCCTTTATAGCAATGTTTCAATGTTTTATTTCCTACAGAGGAGCAAGTGGCCACTTTACAAAATGCTCCTTGGAGTCTCCCACAGCCTCATGAAGGAATCAAAACTGGTGTGAGATGAGCATGAGCTATTTGTTCCCTAATACAGGGACCAGTTTGCCGTAAGGTTCAGATATTGCTGCTGGAAATCAGATGGATTTCTTCCCTTCTGCTTCAATCCTGTTTATAACACAGGGGCATCTTCTGAAGAATGTGGGAGCCTTACAGTGAGGTGCTCAAAGCTCAGATCACCTAAAAGAAAATCACACATTGAGGAGAACCTACATTTTTGTGGCAGGCAGAAAACAGCATCAGTCTGCGGGGGTGTGAGATTTTCCAGCCCTGAAAGTGCAGAGAAAGAGCAGACACATCACTCAAATGAAGGTAAAAAATTATATTGAACAGGGGTACAAAAACCCCTCATCTTTATCTATCACTTGCAGTCTTTTATCTGCATTTTTGTGTAAACCAGCACTAGAAGCAGAAATGCAGCCTTCTTCCACGGCACCTTCCCTATGGTAAATCTAATTAAACAGCCATTAAAATGTGTCTTAGCTCAATTGTATCAAGGTGACCTGGAGCTCCTGCTAAATGTTAGCAGCAGCATTCCCCAAAACTGGCATCTAAGAGGGAACAGGCAGTACTGTTTCTCCTGATGTGGCCTTTAGATGAATGTGGTTATTAAAGTGCTTTGTGTACGACAGATTTCCAAACAAATGAGTCTAATTTTCTGGCAGCTGAAGTGCTCTGTGTGCCCCTCCAGTGCTCCCAGCCAAGGCTGGCATCCCAGTGAGCATCCCAGCTGGACTCTGGCTCTGCAGCTCTCCAGCAGGATGCCAGCAGCCATGGGGGCTGGCACATGTGGACAAAAAGGCACAGGCAGAGCAAAAGTGCTAAAATGTACGAAAGGAGAGAAGAGAGGGCAGAGTCTTACCTGCAACAGCCAGAGCAGCTTCCACCTCTGTGGAAGGACCCTCCACCTGCAGACAGCAAGGCTGATTGTTTCCTAGCCCAAGCAAACACCTGGCTAGCAGTTTAAATATCTTTAAATCCCTAGGTCTCAATTCAGATTAAAGTCTAGAAACATTTCCTTAATTTACACTGGCCTGACCTGCAGTGTCAGAGCCACACACAGTTAATATCTATGATGCAAAACTCTGTAAACCAAATTCCACATCTCTCCTCACAACCAGACCTGCTAATGCCCAGCAAAGAAATATCTGTGTTATAAGCAATTTATCATGCTCAGGTTAATGAGAGCAAAATGCTAATGATGAGACTGAAAACTGAGAACAGTGTCTGTTGGTTACTGCAGGTTTTTATCATGCACCCTAAGAAATATCATTATGCTAAAGAAAATGTTCACCAGGTACTGAATCAGACAGATCTGCAGCTAAAAACTACTTCCTTTGGTTGCTACCTTATGTTTGACTCCACAAATGTATTCCTTTAACTGCAGCTACAGTTAAAAATAGGATATCCCACCAAGCTGCAAACTAGCTGAACAGGTGGGAAATGTCTCACTTCCCCCTTGCACATGTCAGCAGCCACAGTTTGGGTACTGGGGCTCCTTGGCTGTAGAAATCTCCCCCTACGCTGTGTGCAGGGGGCTGGAGATGCAGGAATGATGAATTCCCAGGTGCAGTGATAAAGAAATGAACTAAGTTTAAAAACAAAATAGAACAAGGAGAGATGGAGCCAGGCAGAGCTCTTGTTCCTGGGTTTTGGAAGTCCTGGGAAGCCTTGGAAAGACAAACCCCTTTCTGTGCAGAAACCACACAGGTTTGCTCAGGGCACCTTGACAGTGGTCACAGCTCAAACTCTGGCTCAGCACAAGGTGTGACAAACACGCTTCAGCAAATGACAACAGGCACCAAGCTCACCCTAATGTGGCACCAGTTTACACAGCCACTGGGAGCCTGTGGAGAAGCCTGGCCAAGCCCTTCCCAGCATCTCCAGAGGATTAACTGTGCCAGCCAGCACGGGCTGGGTCAGAGCTGGGGCTCCTGGCTGACCAGAGCAGTTCCCTGGTTTGCCTCTAACAGCAGCACCTGTGGCACTGAGTCTCATCTGGGCATTTTTTTAAATTCTGGTTTTGTTTTCAGATCTCTGTTGTTCTGTCTTGGTTTGCATTTGAATTTCTGATTAAAACATGTTTTTTAATGAATCCTTCAGCTATTATGACACATCTCTGCCGAGTAGGGAAGGCACAGCAAAACTAATTAAATGCCACCCAAGAACTTCACTCTGCCATTTACAGAAACACATTAAACTATGAGGAACGGCTCTTTAAGGACCATTGCAAGGGGTGCACAACCAGCTGAAATTTCCCATGATGGACAGGCTGGTACCAGGGCAGGCAGGAGGGAGCAGGCTCATGGGCAAAGAGAAGCACAGCATGGCACACCCTGCTTGGCAGCTGGGAGAGGACACAGATCTGCAAGTGCTGGTTTTAAACAAGATTCAGAGAGGGAAGGGGGTCATGAACACAGCAGGGAAAAGATTGATGTGCACAGGGAATGGGGTGATGTGCACAGGGAAGGGGGTGATGTGCACAGGAAAGGAGGTGATGTGCACAGGAAAGGGGGTGATGTGCACAGGGGATGGGGTGATGTGCACAGGAAAGGGGGTGATGTGCACAGAGGATGGGGAGATGTGCACAGGGAAGGGGGTGATGTGCACAGGGAAGGGGATGATGTGCAGAGGAAAGGGGGTGATGTGCAGAGGGAACGGGGAGATGTGCACAGAGGATGGGGTGATGTGCACAGGGAAGGGGGTGATGTGCACAGGGGATGGGGTGATGTGCACAGGAAAGGGGGTGATGTGCATAGGGGATGGGGTGATGTGCACAGGAAAGGGGGTGATGTGCACAGGAAAGGGGGTGATGTGCACAGGGAAGGGGGTGATGTGCACAGGGGATGGGGTGATGTGCACAGGGGATGGGGTGATGTGCACAGGGAAGCAGGGGATGTGCACAGCAGGGACAAGGCTGATGTGCCCAATCCAGGGTCACCATCTGCTCAGCTCCAGCACTGGGCACACACAGTGTAGGGTTCACAGGCTGTCCTCACAGGCTGCCCACCCAGGGCCAAGCTGGGCACAGCACTGCTCCCCTCAGCCCCTCTGCCTGGGGCAGAGCATGTCCCAGGCTGCTCCCACCAAACCACCTTGTCACTGCCACCAGGAACACTGAGAGCAAGACGAGGAAGCAAAGGGCCAACATGGAGACTCATGCTTGGAAGGGACATGGGGTATAAAGGAGGAGTTCTGTACAGAAATCTACTGTCACAGGGGGTAATGAATTAAATGAAGTGGAAAGCATGGCATGAACGGGAGATTTGCTATAGTGACTAATGAAATTAACCTCTGTTGAAATAATTAAGCCTCCTAATTTGTACTGCATGAGCAGCACAACCGCAAGGGCAGGTGTGGGCAGCACCTCATGGCTGTGGGCAGCACCCAACACGCCGAGGGGCTTGGGATCTCTGCTCTGTGGAGCTGCTTGGCTTCTCCTGCAAATAAACCCTACAGGTCTAGGAAGAAAAAGTCGTGATCACAAATATCCCACAAAATGCTCATTCCTCTTGGACTTGACCTGCCTCCTCATAAACTGTGACATTTTTCTTCCTTCAGCACAGGATTGCTTTATGCCAGTCAGAGAAGCAGGGTTTGTTGTCTCTAGTTATTAATTTACTTTTATTGACTGCAGTGCCTTTCCTGGTTTTATTACCCAATAGCTCACACCAGCAGAACAGCTTTTCTTTTAGGTTACACATAAACATTTGACTTTCCCAAGCGAGCACCAAGGAGAGCCAAAACCACTGTGGCTCCTGCTGTGTGCATCGGCTGCCCTGGCTCCTGCTGACCCCAGGGACACCTTCCACCACACCATGTCTCTCACAGCCCCACCCAACCAGAAAAAATGCTGATCCCTTTTTCCCCCCTTTTCACTGCTCAAGGCATATGATGAAAAAGCATAAGATTTAGATTGATTTTTTTTGGTGTCCTAAAAATATGCTCTGAAACGCTTCCATTGTCCACCTGCTGCTCCCTGTGATAAGGCACATTTTCCTTTCATAGCAATTATTTTGAACACCATTATTAGGCTGACTGTGAAAACCCAAGAGCACCACAGAAGGTTCTGGGGACATTGAAGCACTGGGTTCCCTGCTGCTGCTGGACACGTCCTGCTGCTCCAGCCGACATCCTGCTGCAGCCAGGACAGCAGGGAGCTCCAGAGATCCTTTTTTTGTTTTTTCTTTTGAGAAAACAGACAGCTGAAATGAGTCCTCCACTTAAACAACTATTTGTGCTAAAGCCAAAAAAAATAAAAATAAAAGTAGCTCAGGTGCTTGGCTGACTTTGAAGCCCAGCAGAGGAAATTCCCTGCTTTGCTGGAGCTGCCAGGAATGGGCAACGCAAGGTGGTGGCTCAGAAGGGCATGGCAGCCCAGCAGGGACACAATGCCTAGGAGCTCTGTCCCACTTCCCAGCACATTTAGGGATGTGCAGGACCCAGCTGGGAGCAGCAGCTCTGGGGCAGAGGATTAGCAGCAGGCCAGTGCCAGGGTGAGGGGCAGAGCAGGCTGCTGATGCCCAGTGCTGCTGGTGGTGTGTGGAGCTGTGCCAAGGCTGGGTGAGCACATCCCCACTGGGGCCATGGGGCTGCTGCTGGATAAACGAGAGGCAGCATCAATTCTAGCTCACTGCATCCCTGTCAGCAGTGCTGAGCAACACAGCTGCTCTCTAAATTTGATTATAGCTATTTCACCGCTGAAGATAATTGGGGGACGTGTCATCAGTCTTACATCAAGTACAGCATGTATTTTGTCTATCAGTCATATTTACTTTAACTTCACAAAAGGATTAAATGAAGTGTACAGTGATATGTAACAACTGTTGTGAGAAGGTGAGAATTCAGCTGAGAAAAAGAAAGAGAAAAAAAAACCACAAATAGGAAAAAACTTAGCTTAGCAGTGTCTTATACTCCCTTTCTCACTCTGCTGTAGATGATTTTCCCAATTCTACTCATGAGTACAGAGGAATTCCTAAGAAGTTTGGGAGAAACACCTCCAGAAGTGCCCCGGTGCTTGTGTAGGAAGCAGAAGATGTGCTGCAGCCCTGGGCACATGTGGCATGGAGACACAGGGCACAGGGCACTGTGCTGCTCCCCCAGGCTGACAGAAACTCCCCTGCCCACCCTGTGCTGCAGAGCTGGCCAGGCTCAGGTGGGCTCCTCTGCATCTCAGTGCCATTTGCACATACCTGCCTTCCAATCCTTCCAACCAAACTTGTAGGAGAAAACCACTCCTGTGGGGGAGATCTCACCTTTGAGACAGCCATCCCTCACTCAGTGTACATGCAGCATCTTCCCCCACCCCTTTTTGGCTCTTCTGGGACAACTATTTTCCATCAGGCAGTCTGTGTTTCCACAGGTGAAGGAGCAGAGCAGAGAGATCCAGGTACAGCAAGTACCTGGCCAGCAGCTCCTGGTTCTGTACCTCCAGCAGCTGCTGAAGGACAGGGCAGGGCCATGAGGAATTCCTGGAGGGTGCAGCTGAGTGCCAAGCCCAGCATCTCCATCTGCTGGCATTCAAAGCCCATTCAGGACACATTCTGATCAGTAGATCTGGGGTCTGTGCTGCAGCACGAAGGTGTGAGGAGTTGTTCCTCAGCCCTCCAGACACAGCAACTGTCCTGGAAAAATGCCATTGGATCCTTCTCCAGAGCCCCCAGCTCTACTCTTGAAAGAGTCAGACCTGAAGATAGGAAAGGTTTTGTTCATTTGTCTGGGGGTTCATTTCCCTGGAAGATTGACAGGCTCCCACAGAGTGTTTATACGAATCCATTGACTCTCTACATTTAATTACACTTGACTGAGTGCATTAACACAACCACGGAATTTTAAAAGATATCAGTTTTATTCTGTTTGACTCCAAACCTGACAGTGAGTTGCTTTCCAGCATACCCTTTCCTCCAAGCCCATTTCCCAGGTGTCTGCAGCTGAGCTCTGGCAGCTTCTGAACCTGAGGAGACACCACCCAGCACCCCCCTCCAGCAGGAAAACACCAATTCCAGCCCACAGGGCCTGTGGGGGATAATGCATGTGCCCTGAGTGATGGCAGGAAAGGCTAATTACCAGGGAAGAAATACATCAACAAGACTGAGCTGGCAGAAAGATGAGCCCCATGCACTGGGGCAGCAGCACTTCCCTCTATTTCCTGCAGTTTATTACCAATAAGAATTCACATATTTCGTTTCTGTAAGGGCAAAGCAGTGTTGGCCATGTGTTGTTTCCCTTCACAAATAGATCAGAGTATTCATTTACTGAATACAAACCTCAATAAGTAGGTGCCACGAAAAGCTGCAAAGCAGCATTGCACAGGGAGCAATGTGCAGGTGCTGCCACATTTGAGCAGTTGTGCAGCATTAAACCCCATCAGCTGCACAGAAATAATGAAGCAGAGGAACAGCAATGCCCAGCCAGAGCTGTGACATACATCTGCCTGTGCTGACCATCCTCACACAACGCTCGACAGTTGTGATAAGATAAAACTTACCCTGACCCTGCAGGCTCTGGGCTCTTCACTCGAGCCACACTCCTCCACCAAGTCTTTCTGCTGTAAGACATAACAGGATGGAACTGGGAAGATTTCACTGCCTCTGACCAGCTTTTTTTGGTTAAGATTTTTTTTAAATATCCCCCTATTTACACATACACAACCCCTGGCTGTAGAGCTGCTCCTCTACACATACTGTGTAGAGGCTGCAGAGCACAGTGCTGGGAGCATTTATTTTTAACAACTCTTCCTGTGTATTCAGGAGGGCATGCAGGAAATGCCAGGGATAAATACAAATTTTTCTGATGGTGAACAACAGACCGGCAGCTCACAATGAGAAGTCATTTATTAGACACTGCGGGAAGAACTGCTCTGCCTGTTAAGAGTCTGTATTTTTTATTCCTCCACCTTGCAGGGTAAGTGTGGGTCCCTTAAGGTTTTCATTTAGGTCTTAAAGACACCCCACTCCCCCACAGAAGGCAGCAGACTTCCAACTAAAATGCATCTCTTTTGAGGTAATTTTGTTTACTACACAAAAATATAAACTATCCCAGAAAGCTGCTCTGGATGACTTTTAAGGATTTTTTTACTCGTAAAGCAGGTTTCTTGGAAGGATTTCACTATGTGGATGAAAGTCATCCACCTATTATTTGGCATTTATCCCTGTGCTTGCCCCATGGAGAACTAGCAGATTTCCAAAAGTGAACAGCTTAAATGCTTCTGACAACACACACAAACACAATAATTTAATTTCAATAAGCTGCCAATTTAAAAAACGATGTGGCATGAAGTACAGCAGGAGGGGAGTCTGGCAGCAGCAGGATGGACAGGGGGATTTTCCTGTTAACTGGAGTCTTTCCCACAGCCTGGAGAGAGGCAGCATCTTGTGCTATTTTTAATCTGCTCAAACACATTATTTAAATGCTGTGAACTT